ACAAGAAGTCTAACCACCTAGGAGTACAAATTGGAGGACACATTTATTATTGTATAAATCCCTTCTTTTTATTTATTAGAAATGGTGTGTTTTTCATCAACAAAGCATCTTTATTGACGTTTCCCCCTGATTGTGATCCTTCATTATTCATTTTTATATTTTACTCAATGCTTTATAATCCTGTCTTTTATGTTCTGCAAACTCTGTTTTATGCGACAACTATTTTGGCATTCTTAATTTGTTTGAATAGATGTATTTAAATATATCGGGGAGTATTATCAATATACAATGATATAACGTGTTTACAGAGTCATAGTTACAGTTTGGTTTATGGAGCAGAGGTTTGATTTAAAGCCGCCTGCAGGGGGCGATGTTGTTTTATGTTGACGCACATCTGCGACGTAAATTGAAACGTCATCACGCTGCGCTTCCTGCTTTGGACATGTTGCGGGGAAATCTCAACTTGTTTTCATGTTTGTTAACGGGGGTTTTTCGCGTGAAATAAGGATTTAACAAGTCCAGGTAAATCTAACAAACATAAACTCGTATTATAATATATAAAATGTACTCTGAGGAAGCTCTGTCGCACTTGTTCAGGTCGCTGCTAACACTAGTTAATTCTCACATTTCAATTATTTTTCTGTCAATAAATGTGTCTTCCTATATTGAGTAGAGACCATTAAATTGAGGTATATGTTTTATAGTGATATGTGGTATTAAGATAGTTTTCTAATAATTCATATTTTCCAAAAAGGCTGGTTTTTAGCCAGTAAATAGTGTATCAATAACGACAGTGCATGTGTTTAGAGCTATGACAATTTCTGCCATTTGTTTGGAAACCTAATTTAACACATGTATTCATTTCATATTTAAGAGTAATAATATCTTACCTTTTTTCTGTCCTGAAGCCCCACAATAAGCCTCTTTGTGTTCCAGTTATTGTGCATGTCTGCTGATTGACTCTTAATCAGTGCTTTATTAAATGCAGGTGTGTTGTTAAGTTTGTGGCTACACGTGACAAAGACAGTGCTAGCATCAATTCTATCAAAGTGGTTAATTTAGGAGAATAAAATATTAATTTTAACGTCTAACTTTCCAATTCCTGGCCTGTATTCTAATGTATATGTATTAATACTTAACAGAAAGTCTACAAGTGGAGGCTGTATCCAAGCTTTAGTTGGAAAAAGTAGGAGTAGGAAAAATACAACTGCAGTTTTTCAGCTCTAAAAATAAAATAAATGTTCACATTTGTTCCAAATTTCCCAGTGTTTGGTTATCTTCACTTAAGAAGACACTTTTTTTTATTTCATTAGTTTTCAGGATCAGTTGTATGAGTTATCTGTAGAGCATGGTAAAGTGGTTTAGTTTTCAGTGACAGCAACAGTGACACCTAAAAAATCATACATACTGTAGCAAACGGCAATAGAACATGTTACTTAATAATATGCAATTCACAGTTTTACAACTAATTTGTTTGTCTAATCTTCTTCTTGTCTGTAGGTGTCCCTGGCCTCTGCAGATCCTCTTCTTCAGCGTCCATGGAGTCAGAGAGGAGTGACTCCCCACCCTCGGGCTCGGGCTCGGCACCTGTAGCTGAAGTCTTCAACTCCATCAGGGAGCGCTCCATCGCAGAGAACAGCATGGTGGTCCTGCTGCAGGGCCTGCAGGGCGAGGTGACCACGGTGGAGCTGAGGAACGAGAGCTCGGCGCGGGGCCGCGTAGTCAACGTGGACGCCTTCATGAACGTGCGTCTGGATGATGTGACGTACAAAGACAGACGGGGTAAATCCAGCCAGCTGCAGGACATGTTTATCACAGGCAGGAACATCCGCTACGTCCATATCCCAGACCACGTGGACATAATGAAGACCATCGAGGGCCATCTGGCCAAGATCCACCGCGTGCGCAACTTTGGCAGTAAGGGAGGAGGCAGAAAAGAGTACGCCAAGAAAGCAAAATAACTCTTTTTCTTTTTCAAAGAAGGACCAACACTTTTGAGTTACGCAAGACTATTTCAAATACTTGGAGGCAACATGCAACAACAACAATAATGTTAAGACAAGTATCACAATCCAGCAGTTATCCACCTGAAGATGAAATAAATGATTGCAGGGACAAGAGCAAGAAATAAATCAGTTTCGGTTTTGGATTATTTTACTTTCTTTCTTCTAAAACCTTGTTTGAGATGTCCCTCTTTGTTTGAGCTGCTCACACTTAATGAGCATACTAAAGGCCGCCACCTGTAATGATGGGTTTGATACAGGCTGAACAATCTGTCAGTATATCATGAATGATACTGGATTTATTTTTCGAGGACTGCAACCATGATAGATAATTTGTTTTGCTTTTTCTACAAAATGTCAAAAACTGTGAAAGTGATTGTTATAATTATCCTGAGCCCAGTGACGTCTTCTAATATCCTGTTATATCCAAACAACACACACACATATTCAGTTTACACTGACAGGAAAGCTTTGACAAGATTCTTTTGGGGTATTTTTGCTTTTAAAAATGACTTCAACATTTCAAGTTGTAGATGAATTTTCTTTAAATGGATTGATCAATGGAATAAGATGATGATTGCGCCTCTTAACACAACATATGTATTTTTATGAACCACTGGATTAGCTAATGAGTTGAATATTATCTCTGTGTTGGGACTTGGGGTTGTAACTGACACAAATGGTTTTATTTACAGTATTTTGAAAAAGTAAGAACATTTTCGCAGCACAGACAGAAATAATGAATAAAGATGCTTGTGATGAACTCATTTGCCCATGCCAAAGTTTTCTCTATTTCAGCACATGACTCGTTCATTAAAATTAAATTGAAATGTTTTCATAATTACTTTGCACACAAGTGAGACTACCAAATCCAGTTGATGAAAATACAATAAATATGACAGAAAAGTTTACAAAGCCAAAGGCTAAACAACAGACCTCCTTTCATTTTTGGAAAAACATCAAACCATGCAAAACATTTAGAAAAATTAAACAGTCGAATAAAAAACAAATACATGTAAAATAGGGTTTCACATCTCTACACCACAATTGTATAGTGAGTTAGTTTTGCTGTGTGTTGATTGAGAAGGGATTTTTGCATTAGTTGCTACTTCATGAACAAAATGTGGTTTTGAGCAGAAAAACAACTATTTGGCTAATTGTGTGATGTAGATGTATTGCTGTTTTTAGATGATAATGAAAACCTAACTTTAAACACTTGTTAGCGTTTTGCTCCTGAGCCCCACAGAGCCCATCTGTCTGGCTGTGAAGAGACTTAATAACTGCCCACATGCACGAAAACATTAGTCACCATCAATGCCAGTCTGGTGGAGGGAAAAACAAGCAGGCATGTTTCCAGAGCCTCCGCCTCACAAACATGCTGCCGGCACCAGGGAGCTGTCACTCACTGTGAGCCGGGATGCCATTCTGTGTTCAGCCAATGGAAACGTGCAGAGCGGAGTGAAAGGAAGAGAGTGTTTCACTTTGGAAACTGTTGTCCCAGTGTTCTCCCGATGCACAAATACGATTGGGAATTTGAGGAATTTGCAAAGGGGTATGTTATTCCTTACACTGTCAGGAAGAGGACAGGCCTGACATAACACAGGCAGCTGGGGCAGATAACCCTGCACTTGTAGATAGATGGGATTGGCAAGCAAACTACATTATATTAAGAAATGTACACACAGGAATGTCCCTCAGCGGTTGGATCATTGTTTTAGCTGTGGCCTCTGTGTGTTTTTTAGGGACATATTTTTCCCTGAATGCTTTAAGAACTGACATTGGGAGCATGTGAATGACAACAGCCCACATAATGACTGCTTACTGCTCTGCTAAAAACACGACCGAGTGCCACATCAACACTCACTAAACTCAGAATAGCACTTTACTGAGGCGCAACCGCACAAACAATTCTTTAACAAGACGTAGCCGAGTGTCACTGACTGCAACGGTGGTCAAAGAAGTACTCAAGTAAAATGTCCAATACAGCAAGGAAAAAATACTCCGGGTTACTACGGGTTTTACATGTTACAGTATTTCTTCACTGCTACTTTTACTCAAGAAAGACGGGTATTTCTTCCACTACTTCCTGTTCTTTTTGTAACATTAGCATTCAATGGAAATGGTCCTTTCAAAATGGTGCCTTTGTTCAGTACAGGAGTAAATGTACTTAAAGGAAAAATTCCCAACCTTTGATGTGGATGTCCAATCACTGTGGTAAATGATGTCAATTGAAGCAATACATTCCTCAATGGGTGCTATACTGACTGAGACAGTTGAGTCTCCTGCTGCAAAATCTGTTTTCATCTTGGATCCAGAGCTTTCATACAACATGACAGAGACATAGTTGGAAGAGGAAGAGCAAACTGCCTCCTGGATTTCTAGTCTCTGCATCCACACGTATTCTTCTTGCTTGTATTGCAAACTAGTCACATTTCTAAATGCAAAAATGGCATAACAAAATAGACATGGATACATTTGACAGTGTTTTGGCTGACTGATATTCAGCCGCAGTCATTCAAGCCAGAGTGTACGGTCGAGGTGAGGCCTCTGGGTGTCAAAAGCTCATGCGCAATGCATCCTGGTTCATAGGCACTGCCGGTTTCTCAAGCATAAGTACTCAGCTTCAGTAAACCACGCACAAAGGAATGTATTGCTTATATTGCCAAAATGAACCATTAACACTGACTGGACATCTACATAAGAAAGGTCTAACTTTCCCCTTGTATTACTTTCCAGCAGCTGCACGTGCTGGCTCCACTGTGTGCTTAGTAAACTCAGTTAAAGACACAAACTGCACTGCTGAGGTCTTTCTCCCCCCCCTCCCTTGACGCTTAGATTAAAATACAAAGAGCTCAATTAATCCACAAACCCCTCAAGGCACCGCGGCCCTGTGCCCATGTCAGCCGATTCCTGCAGCTATTTCCTGTCCCACCCTCCTGGCTTAACAGTGAACAGACCTCACTGTGGTGCGTTCGTGGCCAGCAGAGGAAAGATCACCTCCCTCTGGTCAGTGTGTGGCTCAAATCTGCACAGAGGCAGAACAACTCCAGTAAAAAGGTTATTTTCTATAAAAGTGAGGACTCTAGTGGTTTATCTGCTTTTGGTGGATTTTATTTTACAGACAGATGCCATTGGCACATACTTGTGTTTCACTTATCTTTCAGGAAGAGGAAACACCTCCTTCTCAACACATGTGAGGAGTGTTTCTGGCTGGTCCTCCTCCAAAGGATGGCAGGGAGTGGATCATAGTGGAGGGCTGCTCCCTGTGAAGCAGCTACATCAGCTTCTGTCACAAACACTGAGTGACCAACATCCTCTCACTGCTCCATCCAAATGATGGGATTGTATCTACATGTTGGCTGACACACCAGGTCAACATTGGATCTAAGTTCTTTCTTTTTCCATTGGAATCTTGTGTTCAAGTCAAGCAGACAGCTTCCATCCAGGACCAAGGTGAGTGATAACTTCAGATGTTTATCTTTTAATCTTAAAATACTTAAAATGTAGGCCTATGTACAAATCCAATTATTATTGCTCATTCTGTCTCAGATTTTTCAAAAAGTTCCCAAATATACTGCAGTGACTTTGCTTTCAGGCAATAAACAAGGCAACACACTAGTTTATTAGTAGGGCCTGCACCATGTTCTTTACAATACCACAGACCATAAAACATTTATAGGTCCAGTAGCTACAAAGAAGAAAAAACCCATCTTTTTTTATGCATTTAAATACTTTTTTAAAGACCCTTTCATTCACTTTCTACTGTGCTAATGAAAGTTTGACTGTCTGAGACAGTAGACTCTTTGTGGACTACTGTAAAACAACAATTCTCATATTCAATGGTTTCAGATTTCATCTTTTGACTTAAATAGGATTATCTAAGCAGGAAGTGTGGGAGGGTTGAATGGGAGTGCATTTTATAGGGTTACATAAACAGCTTCAGCTGCCGGGCTTTGCATGTGAAGTTATTGGACTTGTCTGGAAATCTTAGGTGTTAAATCTGTCTGCCCGAGACTGCGGCTGCTGTGTAAAATTGACATTTGTCTCCCTCTGGTATTTGTGCTTCAAGCTCGGGCAGACTACACCACAAACTGTCCGCTTCATGCAGTGAAGGAAGCTCTGTAGAGCTCCATATAAAAACACATGTATTTGAGTGTAAATTTGCCAACAGAGAAGAGTTTGACAGTGCTACGAGGGCATAGGCTGCTAATCTTTTTTTTAAATAATAATCTGCTTTCTTAAAACAAGAGGAACATAATCTACAGGTGCAGTCAGATTACATTATATGTTACTTGTTAGACGCTTTTATCCAAAGCGACTTACATACTCAATACTGTGGACAATCCCCACAGGAGCAATTTGGGGTGAAGTGTCTTACCCAGGGACACAACGACATGCAGACTGCAGTGGGGTTTGAACCTGTGCTCCCTTGATCCCAACACCAAAGCGCCAAACCACTGCGCCACAGCCTCCCAGATCCTTTCAAACTCTTTCCAAAATAAATCAACTTGTTGTTTCCAGAAAAGAGAGTCGGCGCTTAAAATATATAGGCTACAAGTCTATGCACTGAAATCAAGGAAATCAAAACTTAATTTTAGAACCAGACCAGGTGATTCAGATTTGAATATGAATATTCCTTCGCCACTAGCAGACTGTTCCACTTTTCCTAGCGAGATTAAGATGGGAAATCAATACCATTTCGAGATCTAAGTCTACAGCCAGTAGCTAGTTAGCCTAGCTTAGCATAAAGAATAAAAAGAGGGGGATACAGCTAGCCTGGCCCCTTCCAAAGGCAGCACAAACCTCCTAAAGATCACTGATTAACATCCCTTTATCTTGTTTGCTTAATCAGTACAAACCAAAGCGTAAAGACAACATTTTGCTGATTCGCTTTTTGCTGATATATTTGTTGGTCCATTGCCTGGCACGACATATTTGAGCACATAACTCCTTAACTGTTTTCAAAATAAACAAACGAGATAGAAAGTTTAGTCGGTGAGCTCGCAGGTGGTTTAGTTTCTTCTGTAAAGATAGCTGTTTTCCAGAAGTTATGCTTAAGCTAAGCTAACAGGGTGCTAACTCCTGTAGCTCAAATTACAGAAAATCGGACTTGATAAGAAGATTATATCTGCAGTGTGACAAATGTTTGATCAACAGTCTGGTCGGTGGGCATGTAGAAGTGCTGGGTGTAAAGGCCAGAAAACAATGTTTGACTTTGCACAAGCGGAAACTTAATTGCCCACTTAAGTTGTTAAGGTCTGGGGGCCACAAATTGAGGGTGCAGATGGAGTCATGCTTCTTCTGTCTGGGAGTTAAATGGCAAACAGAGGGCAGCGCTGGTTGAGACCCACCGGTTCCCATGAGTCAGCGGCCAACATAGAGACCACGGATGTAATTGCACTCCTTAAAAAAATTCAAAAGAAAGCCTTTGAGAGTGCGCAGGGACTGCCAAGAGTCACCGGGATAAAGATCAGGGCGGGAGAGCCCCCCGAGTGGCAGCGATTGCAGCAGGGCATGATTTTGTTTTCTCCCCGGAGAGAAAGCACCAGAAAGAAAAACATTCGGCTCCCACGCACATTGTTGTTTTAATGACAGGGAATGTGAGGGGGTGGGAATATCAGTCATCGTGTTTACATCAATCTTTACGTTTTCTGTGGGACCATCTGTGACATTTAACCTCAAATAAATCTCAATGTCTATCCCTCTCAAATGATTGATCATTGAAAAGGAAAAGAAAGAAAAAACATTTAAGTATTTTTTTGTGTATAACTGTTTTTACTATAATTTAAATTGCAGTTAATGCATTTTCTGTTAGATACATTCTTTTTTTTATAAGTAGGAGACTTTAGTATTAGGGCATTTAAAGTTAGGAAACTTGGAATCCTATTAACATTTTGGATTTTAACAAACAATAAAATGCAACAGGTGTTAGCTTTCGCATGTAGCCCATTGTTTATTTTCAGTTTTACCCCTCAAAGGGAAAATGGCACTACTAATCTGAGGAACCAAAGCTATGTTACAGTTTCTAGCCAGCAGCTTGGCTCCAGGAATGGCAATGGTCAATACTACTAATGGAGACAACTACCCTATTTCCTGTAGCCAAGGAGGGAATGGGCCTTCACTGACAAAATATCACTCAAAAAGACACGCAGCAACCAGGAAGAAACTCAACTGATAACAAAGAAACTCAAAGTGACTACGGAAAAACTCAAAATTCCAACAAAGACAATGAAAACAACTGCACCACAAAGAGAAAAAAGTAAACTACAAAGAGACAAAACATTCTTCCAAAGTCACTCAAAATTACTGCAAAGATATTTTTAAACAATTACAAAGCAACATAAGGAGACATTTCATTACTATAAAAAGACAATGAAAATTACTACAATGCAACTCAACAACTCAAAATGAACAAAAAAAGACATAATAGCATGAAGCGCCTTACCAACTATACAGACTTTGTGTCTTGCTCTCTGGTAGGAGAGCTGGTGGAGCATTTTGCATGTCTGAAGGCACATTCTGTCATAACCTACACATCCGTGTGAAGACACCATACTTTCAATAGGTCCAGTAGGTATAGCTGCTAGTGTATAGCATGCTAACATGCTAACAAGTTTAACTCAGATGTTTGACCTAACATTACACCTCCATACAATCAACTGAAAGCATTGTCATCATGATGGTTCTTGCTGGTGGTGTAGGCCTACAATAAATCAACATACTTAACCTTTAAATGCCAACAGGAAACAGACAATACGTATCTAACTGTGAGTTTAAAATGCCACTACTATTTAAATCTCACAAATAGACATTGAGATTTATTTTACATATTTTCTTTGTTTTTCTTTGTTGTCTTAGATGTCCTTTGGGCTGTTTCACCACCATCCACAATTAGTTTTAATTGTGTGCAGCTGTGGGCAGCTCCTCTGCTTCCTTTTTGCATTGCATTGTTGGAAAATAGTGGAACACAACAAAATAAGCATATTTGTATACAAGTTGATTTGTATGTGCTGTCAGTGTGAACACTCTCCAAAACCCTACTACTTTTGGATACTGTATTTGATTATCCACTCCATAATTATAGATACTTTGGAGAATAAATGCATTAAAAGTGCCTCAGCATAATTAGAAAAAGAGACCAGACATATCAGAATAAATGCAAAATAAACCAGAACAATCACATGTTTTTTTTTGCGATAACATGTTGTTAATAGCTGGGAGTATCCAAGTCATGTGACTTGTTTTCTGTGGGAAAAAAAGGACAAAAAAAACATGTGCTCGACTCCGGAAAAGAGCCTCCTCAGGCACTGATGTCATAAATATAAACATCCCCATCAGACACAGAGGGCCTCATGTTTCTGTGCTCACCGCAGGCTGAGTGTAAAACACTTACGAGGAACACAATGTCCTCTCTGCTGACCTCTAACCTCTGCTGTAGATCACAGAGGTAATGAGAGGGGAAAGCCTTTAAATGAGCTCAGGCTTCCTTAATGGGTTTAAAAGCGACATCATTTTATAATGTGATAAATACTCACTGTCTCCTTTTCCTGTGCCAGGGTCTGTGGTAGGTGTTGGAGTTCAGTGTGTAACAGGAAGTCCTGATGAAGATTTGAAGCCTCTGTGAAGCAGGATGGAGCCCATTAAGACAGACATGGAGCTGCTCAGCAACAGCATGGCCACCTACGCTCACATCAAAGGTAAAACATGTCCCTGTGGTTCTCAACCCAGGGTTCGAGGCTCAATCAATGTGTCATGGCATGAATCTTTGGGGTCATTTGAAATATACAGGAAAAAATAACGTAATTGTGCCAGTATTTTTAGAATATAGTTTCCAATATTTCTATGACCTTTTTGATGCAGTTGGAAAACGGAAGTGGAAATGGCTGCTTGTAATCGGGAATATTTCTGGAATATATACTGTTATTAACAATTTGAACAGCTTATATTTGTATTTTTGGAAAAAGGGCAAAAACATGATTTTGTGCATGTAAAAGTATTCAATTTGCATAACACCAAACACACCTACAGTATCACCAAAGAGATCAAAATCAAGATCTTTGTGATTATAACGTTGGGGCTCACTATTTTAAAGGTCACCTATTATGCAAAATCCACTTTTCATTTATTGTATAGATGAGCATGTGTCCCCTCTGTGTAAAGAGATTCTGAAAGTTTCAGGAGAAAAGATTCCCTCACTTTTTGTCCTGATCCATTTATATAAAAACCTGTCTGAAAATGAGCTGATCAGATTTTGGCCACTTTATGATGTCATAACGATTAGCCAATCACCAACCAAGGTAACCCCCCCCCACACCTTATCACCTGAATCTCCTCCTAGAGCACCATTAGGCGCGTTCACACCAAGTACTTTGCCGTATTTAGTGCCGGCACTCAGTGCCCCGGCACTTATTACCCCAGGGCACTTAGTACAGATCGCGTTCACACCGGAGTACTTTTCCCTGAGGGAAGATAACGCAAATGAGCCGCTGACGTCACTTCGTCTTCTTCTACTTTGGGTTTACTGGCAGGCCGCAAACAACTTCACGGCGTATATTGCCACCCGGAGTCCCCGGAGTTGGGGCACTTTTTTCCCCCAGGAAAGTACCATCTCTCAGCAGGCACTAAAAATGGGGCTAAAAGTTCCCGAGATTAAGTGCTCTTTTTGGTGTGAACGCGACATAAGGGGTACTAACGGAACTAAACGTGAAAAGTACGGTGAAAAGTACTCCGGTGTGAACGCGGCTATTGTGTTCTTTTTAACCAAATATCTCTCAGAGGGGCGTGGGGAGTGGCTCCTTATTTTCATCTGAAGTAACAGACAGAGAATCAGTACTTTTGAAACAGGGCTGAAACAGAGGGGTTTATGGGATGCTACAATGATCTGTTTGGTATTTGGAGCCAAACACTTCAGAGACATGTTTGTATATATCTGAGACCTATAATATATTGATGAAAAACAGTATAATAGGGGACCTTTAATAAATGCTCTTGTGTTCCTCTCTTCTCTCACAGCCAATCCGGAGAGCTTCGCCCTGTACTTCATGATGGGCGTGTGTCTGGGCCTCCTCATGGCGCTGTGCCTCCTGGTGTCCGCCATCGCCTGCAGGACCCGCCGCCACCGCAGGGCTCCCCCCTCCCCAGAGAGGAGGAAGCTGAAGGACTCCAGCGCGGAGGAAGATGAGGACGAGGAGGATGAGGAGGGGGGCGTTGATGAGGAAGATGAGGAGGCGACGCAGATCCCTAAAGTGACCCTGGGGCCCCTGGGTGACGGCAGCTCTAACGGGACTCTGAGGAGCGTCAACGTGTTTGCGTCCGCCGAGGAGCTGGAGAAGGCGCGCCGTCTGGAGGAGAGGGAGCGAATCGTCAGGGAGATCTGGAGGAACGGACAGCCGGACATCCTGGTCACGGGGACGGGGACCATCGGACGGGTGCACTACCACTAACACACACTTTGACTGTGATATGCTCCCTGACTGCAGAAGGCAGAAGAGACTTTTGGATCTGTGTGGCGGGCCATGTTCAAAATGAAAATAAGAGACTGTGTAAAATGGCAGGGGTGGTGAACCTTATATTTGCCCTCCGCAGGGTCATTATTGGTGGAACACTCCTATTCATTGACAAAACATTGATATCTTGTCACAAGAGTCAATATTTTAAATTTTAACTGAACTTCTAATGTGAACCACAAATGTAAATATTAATATAACGTACTAAGATACAGAGACAGGACTGTTGTATTCTGCTTAAGTGAAACAATTTCAAGTTAAAAAATACAAAATAAGGACAACAACAAGAAAAGAAAAGAAAAATAGCCTAACTCTTTTCTGCCCTAAAAACATTCGTACAATCCCTAATTAAATAAGATATTATGAAAAAATGAAATAATCATATGAATAAATACAGTAAATAAATGCACTAAAGTCATGATGTCATTCAAAATCCAATACTTTATTTTAAAATGCAGCTCAATGTTATGAAATGTAATTTCATCTATGGCCTTTTTGAGAAAAAAATAAGAACTTTTCTTTAATTAAAAAATTGCTGGAATAAAATAACAATTCCAATCAATTGATTTATCAAATAAGGTGATATAATGTTGGAGCTGAGTTTCATTGCAAAAGCTGAATTACTTCACTATTTTAAAAAGGGTTATATATTGTCTCTTTTTATTCACATGATTAGTATAAGTCTCATTCTGTAATTTAATATTGAAAACATATTTTCTCCATATATTTTGTATTATATCGCCTGTGACAACAGATGTAGTTTGCAGCATATTTGGCTTCATCTGTATTCTACCATGTCTTTGCAATGTGAATAATTAAAAGTTGAACCACTTTTACAATCAACAAAAGCACATATGTATCAATAGATGTAGCAATGTCCATCTGTGATTATTTGAAAGTCAATCATACATTCAATTGCTTTTTGGGCGATTGTAAGAAAAAGTAAACACTCAAGATTATTGGTTTTGTCTCCTAGTAAATTGAATATGTTTATCTTTTTTTGTCTGTGCTAATTGATGTTCTAATTGTTTTTGACAAATCCAAAATGCATTTTTAATTCCTAAATAGTTTGATTAGCCTGACTTACAATCCAAAAACCTAAATATATTGACTTAAATCAAAGATAATAACTTAAATAATGAATCACTTAAGACTATTTTTCAATAATAAACATTTTAGCAATTTGAACACATTAAGTGATATGGTACATTTGAAAGACCACCATTTCTTATTCTTATAAGACATTTTCAATCTAGAAGACAGTAATTAATTGCAGCCCTGGTGTAAAGTGCTTCGGGCAAATGTTAGCAGAGGATCTTCCCACAGAAAGAGACCCTGCAGTCTTTTTCCCAGCCTTTAATTTGACTTGTGTCTCTGACCCCATCACTTCCTGTGTTCCCATTTTCCACAATTCCCACCACCCTTCCCCCCCCACCCCCTCCTCCCAGCGTCAGCTACAACACTGCAGCTCTCTCTGTGAACACGACTATGAAAGAGCCATTCACCTCAGCCGTACTGTAGATATTACCAATGCACAGCGATGCCCCCCCCCCCCCCTCAGAAGAAGAGTCTATTTTCTGTTGGCTGAAATGTTCCTCCACGGCCTCTGAAAAGGCAGCAGTGTGTGTCAAGTGTCGGTAAGTAGCACTGAATGAAAAAAATGTATGATTTCCAGAGGGACATTTTTTTCAATACTAACTAAAAAGGAGACACAACTGATGGTGCCTGATGGTGTGATCAACCTGGGACACATGGCTTATTCACACTTGTTTAGGCCCCTCCTACTTGTTTGTTGTTCCACTTTGAAGAGATTTGCTCATTAGCTGATATGTTTCAAACACCACTGCATTAAACAAGACCCTGTCACAGGCTGAAAGCAGAGGTGGTATCAAGATATTTAACTGTAAGTAATAGTCTTGAAGACTTATATTTAAATAAATGCCTGTGATGTCCCTATAGGGGAGTAACACAATGGTGATTGAGCTAATGGTCCACTGATAACAGCCTTTGCTTTTGCAGTAGGACTGTGTCTGTGGTGGCATTCCTGGAAACAATCACAATGAAGACATTGGATTTTTAGAATATGAGTTATAAAAAAAAACACACATTGAATTAGTGCCTAAAGCCATGAGTGGATAGTACATTAAGCAGGGGTGTGGAGCTTTTGTCTCCCCCCTCTGGCAGTGAATGTTAGAAGAACAGATTCAGGATTGGATTATCTGGATAAAAAGTTATGTTTACGTTCAGAAAAAGGGTTAACATTAGAGTGTTCAGCATCATTATCTTTTAAACTATTTTGTGTTTTTACACAAAGATTAATATAAAAAAGGTCAGATGTATCTTTAATGACAGTAAAGGCTGTGGCGCAGTGGGCTAGTGCGTTGGTGTTCTGAAGAGGGGAGCACAGGTTCAAACCCAACTGCAGTCAGGATGTCGTTGTGTCCCTGGGCAAGACACTTCACCCCAAATTGCTCCTGTGGGGATTGTCCACAGTATTGAGTATGTAAGTCACTTTGGATAAAAGCAGCTAACATGTAATGTAATCAATAGTGCAAGCCCTGAGATGCTTTATGGTTAAATGTGTTAGTATTGCAATAAACTATAAATGTTTCACGCGTACTGCTAAAGAGAGTATGGTACCCCAAACCAACACCAGAGAGGGCTGTCACTCTCATTTCTCTCTCCATTGGTAGATCTCAACAAGTATCACACTCACAGCGTTGCCCTGAATCAAAGAAAGATTTATTGAAAATTAAAAGACAAAGTACTCCAAAGCTCTTGAGAACAGTACAAAAGTTTTCGGCTTCAGATTGAACAAAAACAAAGTCCTACAGTTGTGTTTGGTACATGCAGCATGTACAGTGAGAAGCAGCACAGTGAGATTCACAGAACGACTTCTGCTAGTTCGCGGCAACTCTTCTTAAAAATATACACTTCCATCAACACCTTCGACACAATCTTTTTAGGGTCTCTCTTTCCTTTATCAGCTCAAACTGCTCTTTTTCGTTTTGTGGGAGGATTTAAGGTCGTTTTGTTTTTTTAAAAGAACCATTTCCTGTTTATATTTTAGCTCCCTTAGGGTTACAATAATGTAGGTCTAATAATAGAATAGAATAATTCTATACAGCATTTTGTAAAACTATGACATTTGTACTTATTCATCTAAACTAAAAGGTAGCCACTTACTAAATTAACTTGACAGTTTGAAACCTTTATATTTATCTGTCTAAAGCAAAATCAGAAGATGTTGATGCCAAATTCTTTACAATTTGTTTTTTTTTTAAAACTGAAAACACCCAGAATGAATGAGAATATACTGAACCACACGCACATACAAATGTCTTCACTTCCTAATGAGAAATACAGGTAAAGTGGCACTATATGAAAATGCTTGGAGAGTATAAGTGACAAACATCAACCGTTCATTAAAGATATTTGACCTTTCCTGTCTGAAACGTGACGGCGGTGAGCCCACTTCTGATTGGTCCCGAGGAGCGCGGTATGAATCATGCAGTAACATCGAAGATTTATCACAGCCCCAACAACATAAACATGGAAATCATCTATAACCTTCCTACACTGATGGACAGCTACCTCTTATAGCTGGATTACACAAGTAATAATATTTATTTTCTAAGGCACACATTTTTTACTTTGTCATGTTTTCAGAGAATATTTTTTTGCCTCAGTATTTTCTCCCTTAAAAAGATACAATGAAACCAGCTGCAGAACAAAAACTCACTTGACATTTAAAAAACAAAACGCTCTGAAATGAAGGTGCTCTTCATTCCAAAGATTCTTCACTTTAACTGTTAGAAGGCTCAACTTACTGAACACATTTATAACCATCAAATGTGATGATGTGGGGGGGGTCGAGTGGTTCTACTGCTTCGGGGGGGGGGGCTTCTCCGGCGTTCTTGGTTTCTTTGCGGATGACCGGCTGGCATTCCATGCCGTCGTCGGCTAGCTCCGCCCCTTCCCCCTCCCCCCCGCCCCCGCCCCCGCCCCCGCCCTGGTACATGTCGTGTGTCCACTTCGGGCTGCTGCCCCCCTTACGGTAGACGAAGCGTCCCCGGCGTGTGGGGAAGGCCCCCCGGCCCCTCCCACGGGAGTCCACCCAGGTCTTCTCGCCATCACGGTCGTCGTGCTGGAAGGAGAAACAGGTGGGGTTAAAGGTCAACCAGAAGTCCTTCACACAGCAGGATTACTAAAGAGCAACTGTTCCTCCATGTTTGACAGAAAACGGACTGTTTTGAAAGAATCTGATCCTTCAGTGATTTCAACTGTTTTTCCTTTCTCTTTGTTAATGTCTCTCCAAGTCTCGCTCAGGGTTCTGAAATCTCGCGAGAGGTGACTTGTGGCCAGAAGACAAGGCTGTAAACGTGATTGCGAGCTAGAGAGGATAGTGTTAGTATCACAAACATTTGTATTAGCATGGCTGAATATTTAGCCAACTGCATGAATCTCCCCCTGTCTATACATCTCGAAATAGAAGGATTGCTTGCAGTGCTTTCCTTCAATACTGTACAATTGTTGTCCACATGAGTCGCTTAGAGGGTAAGGGTTGGTTCTGCTGTGAAGCAAACCATTCTTCTTCAAGGTTTTCTTTATCACTGTTTCATCAGATACTTTCCAATAAAATGTTGTTCAAATAATCCATATTTTGTCAGACAGCGTCTAATCAATCATGGTTAGATGATTACAATGACAACAAATCAAAGTCAAATGAAAAAACGTACTGAATTTTGAAGTATGCCATTATACATAAAAACAAAACATTCCATCCTTTTGTAACAATAAAGTGCTCTACCACGAGTATGAAAGCATCTGCATGATGTAAACCTCACCACCTGTACGCCTGGGCTGTGACCAGAGACCTTTTCCTACTAGTCTGCTTAGTTAGAATAAACCGTGGGCCGAGTCAAATCAAAACGTAATTATTTGTGGGGTAAAAATAAAATCCTTGGTTTTTATGTGTCATAATAAAGCCCTCCAAAATGAGGATGATGGGCTTGTTTCACAGGAACATGTTGACTTTGATGTTAGTAGTTACTAACATCACTAAAAAGGGCTCTGTGCCGGCATGCACAATACAACAGAGGGTAAACATGCAGCAGGTACATGTCTTAAGTCAAGGTATTATTGAATTGTATCATAATTAAATTCTACTGTGATGCCTTCAGTGTTAAAAGCCCTACGTTTTTAGGTGCATCACTAAATCATCAGCACGAGAGGCTCACCAGGTAATACTTCCTGCTCTTGGGAGTGTATTCAGGGTCCCACTCCTCCTCTGGAGGGCGCACTGCAGGGTTCAGAGGGGCGGGGTTTCCATTGCTGTTGTTGCCTGGATAATTTCCCCTGTTCCACCCTCTCCCTCTCACTCTGGGGAACTGAAATCAAAACAACGAGTTGGATTTAACTCGCAGTCAAGGGACAAAGACATGTTCTACAACAAGATGGAAGAATATTTATTGTTATGTTTAATATTAGTCAAATAATGGACCCAGGCGCGATGAGATATTAATGGGTATCAGGCATTTGTTTAGTGATGGGGTGAGGTTCCACATATTTACGCTACATTACCTTAATAAAAGCCAGGCAGTGCATGGAATATGTATGATAGTGACATCATCATTATCATCATCCACATTATGTTCCTTAGCATTAGGAGGAAGGAACAGAGCAGAGAAGTGAACGTCTACTGTGATGCCGTTAGGATAAACAATTGCAAGAAGATGAGATGTCAGTTTCCCTCAGTGGAAAAGACTCAACAGCAGAAGAGAGAAACAAAGCTCAGAAAGCAACTTACGAATCCTCGGCCTCTGCCCCGCTCTGCGTTGTGGCCCTCAAAGTGGCCCCCCCGGTCGTGGCCCCCCCGGTCGTGGCCCCCCCGGTCATGGCCCCCCCGGTCGTGGCCCCCCCGGTCTCCGCCCCCGCCGTAGTCCCGTGGAGGATACCGGTTGTGAGCGTAGCCCTCCTCTGAGTGCTCCATCCCCTCCCCTCCCATGAACTCTTTCCCCCTGAAAGCTGGAGGATAAGGGGAGGCAGAGGAGGAGGAGGAAGAGGAGGATGGAGAGCGGTCCCGCTTCTTCTTACCCTTCCTGCCAAGAAAAGATGGATGTGAGTGTCAGAGAGTTTACAGACATAAAATGTATCAAAATAGTTTGAAAGTTTAAAAAGCAGATTGGTTTGCAGAGTGGTTACTAAGGTTACAGTTAGAGATGACTAGCCAATCAGTCTCAGATTTAGCATTTTCTGAAAAGTAACAAGTGACACATCTTAAATTATAACTTTTAAAACAAAGTTCACACAGGCAGATAACGTCATGTTTTCTTCATGTCATGGTGTCGTTAATCTGTGTGCTTGAACAGATTAGTTCCAGCACTTTAATGGTACAGAAAGAAACCTGTTTGTTGTAGCTTTATTCTCTATCCGGGGTGACAGCTATTGCTAATTCAACATTTCACATTAAGCTTTTACATTCTTCATACTGGAAAACTTCGACAACCTTTAGTCAATACTTTTCACCTACAATTCTGTAATCACTGTACAGCTCGGTTTTATATTGCTATATTTTGTATGTTCCATTTTTTTATTAATGATTAATAACTTGATTTTTAAAGGGTTTATTTTGTAACTTTCTCCCAATTTGTTTGTTCAGCCTTTCTTGCCTTTTTGGCAACAAACCAATCTGGTATCATGAATGTGCAGGAAAAAATTGAAAGTGGTAATTGTTCACTTTACTGCTATACACTGTACATCTTTCAACATGGCAACATATTATTAGTAACAATGGTAACTCCTCCAAACGTTGTGTTCCCTGTGTGCTGGAACATTTGAGAGCACAGAGGGCACGTACTTGGATTTCTTGTGGTGTTTCCCAGATTTCTCAGAGGACCTCTCTCTGCTCGGCCCCCGGGAGCCTCCTGAGCTCCGGCCTCCTTCACGCTTGTAATCCTTTCCCGCAGACCTCTTACGTCTTTCAATATCCAGACGGAGGTCCATCACGTCGCCTTTGAACTTTTTACTTGGATCCTGCAGAAAGGTGGGTTTATTAGCCACTGAACCAGCTGTTTGCATAACTAATGGACATATTCAAAATGCTTTAAAATGATTTGGTAAAGGAAACATACAAATAAACAGCTTGAAATTAAACACCAGTGCATTACAAATAAAGATGCTAAACATATATTAATGTGTTCGCTCAAGTGGTTAAGACAAAATACTGACAATACAAAAAATATGTTCAAAGAATGTCTTTTCACAACGGAATACAACATATTTGTGGAAACCAGCAACATGCATGTAGCATATCAAAATAAATGAACAGATTTTTTGTAGCTTGATTTTTTTCTTTTCAAGAAAAATACTTACAAGGTAAAGGCACTGATAAGCGTCCCTTGAGAGGCTTGGACTCAGGATCTTAATTCACTTCCTTTTAGCCTTTGCTTGGGTTCGTACATACCCAATCAATAACCATATCTCATAGGCTGGGGGGCTTGCTTGGCACTTACAAAACACAATTGGGCTCTTTTGATTTAGATATATGCATCCTTTGAAAGAAAAGCACAAAGCTGAACACTGCTGCTTAGGATCGTCTCAAATTTGCTTGTTCCAAATACTTCAAATTTCAAAATGGCGGGTCACCTTGTAGCTCGTCTCCTCCATCTCCTCAAACAGGTGAGAGTGCCTCTTAAAGGCACTGGGGGAAACATCGATTCTCCTGAGAGAGGAGGAAAGAGCCCGAAGGTGAATATATAAAACACAACAGATGTACAGTTCATGTTCAGTCTGTAAACTCAAAAACACACAACATGTTATTACTTTTGAATTAGGGACCAAAAGAAAAATGTATACTGACCGAAAAAGGCTGAATTAATTCACTTACCCATTTTATATTAATTATTTTTGTACAATTCTCATTTAATGTATACACTGAAAATGAGAGAAACAAATAAATAAATATTTATATTGAATATACCAAAAATATCAAATTTTAAAACATTTTTTCAATTAACTTCTTCAAATTATATACATATATATGTAAATATTTTAATTTTAATTCCATCTGTTCCAAATGTATTATTTTTTAGAAGTAAAAAAATCGGATCCATACAACTTAGAGTTAATAGTTTCTAAATAATATGTTGGCTGATTTAAGATAATCAGCTCTCATAACAAATAATATAGCTCTCTAGTGGCAAACAATTGGATTTGTGATTGTTATGTATGCATTCCTACAAACCTGAAAACACTGTAAAAGAAGGGTACATTACTTCAGGTCAGATTGTGAGACGTTGTGTATACCTGTGGATTTCTGGGCTCTTCCTTGGCTTCATCATTTCTACCTCTGCAGCTTTTCTTTGGTACATGGCAAAGCGCTCACTTAAAGACATGTCTGAGGATTGGAAGTGTTGAGCTGCAAATAAAGAACAACAAACTATTATTCCAGATACAGGAGTATAGTATGGTAACTGACATATAATGAAATGTACCCTGGATCTCACACCTGTCGTCCTGAGTCTGTGGAGGCGGGACAAAGCCAGCACAGGTCATACTTTACCTTTGATGTAATGCACGATTGAGACTATGTGCTGAGCGAACAGCTCAGAGGGGCTCCGGCGGAGCTGCGCTGACTGAACGTGCTGGAAAATGGAACGAAACTCTGCGTCTTTTTTAGTGGGGTTCAGCTCTCTGGGCATGACACGATCTTTAGACATGGAAGAGCTGAGAGAAGAGAAGGAGTGAGCCACATTGTACATTGACAAAGAAGAAATAGCTACCATATGACTCAAATAAAGGTGGGGAATGTTTTTACACTTTTCAATGTGCTAAAGTTGATGTTTGGATTTTCTTCATAGGATCATAGTGCATACATCATGATTGGGAGATGGGATTTAAGCCAGAGAGTATGTGACTGTTAGAGGAGCACCACTCATGTTGGATTTACATTCTGTTTCAATGGAAGTGTCTCGTGTTACATTAAGAGAGAAAACAAGGATCTTTTGTTTAGGTCTTAACAAGTCCATGTTGGACATTTGGACATACCTGGGCATTTCATCAATGGAACCAATTTTGTGTTCAAAGTCGTCCCTTGACGCAGACATGTGACGCACAGGCGAGTCCTCGCGAAGAGGGAAGGCTCCGGGGAACAGCGGGCGCTCCTTCTCTCTGGACGCTGCGGGAGGGGACGGACTCCTCCTGGACTTCTCCTTCTCTTTCTTCTCCTTCTTCTTGGCCTTCTCCTCTTTCTTGGAGCTGTGTTTGCGGCTCCTGTAGATCTCCTCCTCCATGTGATCCGCGGGCTCTGCCTCTTCAGCATCTCTCCGGCTCTTCTCTTTAGCTGACGGGTAGGACGTTGAGTAGCTTGGCTCGTCCCCCCATTTGCCGAAAATGTCCCGAGCTGTGAGGGTGGGTTTGACGTCCCCGTCATCCTCAATGTCCCTCTCTTTCAGGCCGTGGGACTTGAGGAACTCCTCTTCTCCGGCGTCAAAGAAGGGCAGGGTCTTGTCTTCCTTTGAGTCGCTGAAAGAACCGGACGAGATGTTGAAGGGATCTCCGGACTTGCTTCCTTTCTCTAGTTCTCTGTCTGTGTTGCTCTGCTCTTTATCACGACCGTTCTCCTTCTCTGCAGCCTGCTTTTTGTTTTTATTCTCAGCCAAGAACCTGAAACAGAGAACCAATCTCGCTTTAGTACGTTCACCCCCAGGGACATGACTAAAATGCGTTACACAATTTAAAAAGGGAAATACACATTGCACATAAACTGTAATACCTAAAAGGGATGGGCAAGCTTACAAGAACATGGTAAAAGTACATTTATTATGTTATTTATTGGATTGTTAACTCCTCTTTGGGAAACATTTGGGACAATATTCTCAGTATTAAAGTACCGTCTCATCAGTTTACTTCCCAGGGCTGTAGCGAAGATTCTTTTTTCAATCTACTAGTTGCTTGTCTAATGTTCTGCCTTGATCAATATGACATTTAAAAAAGCCCATCCCTTAAGGAAACAGTAAAAGATCAGGACTCACATTGGAATAATCAAACTCACGTCACCACCGCCGCCTAAGTAAGTGGGATTTCATACAACTTCCTCTCAGTGCACAGAAAAGTAAATATCTTGAGTCTTGTGTTTTCCATTGTAACATGTATTCCTCCAGGGCTCTTTGATAAAGGCTACACATGTTTGAAAGAAAAATAACGTTCATCATGTGTTAGAATAATGAAAAAAAGGAAATGTTATTACATTCAAATGAGGAAAATAGTAACACACGTACTTTTTGAAGGCAGCAGAGATCACCGTCTTATCTTCAGATTTGGTTTCTTCCTTTGAGAAGAACCCAAAGCCGCTGAAGGAGGCCGTTTGTCCGGACTTTGTGGGGCTCTTTGCTGGAGGGGTCACGCTACCAACGGTTTTCCACATAGGCCCTTTTCCCTCGGAGCTGCTGGGGGCGTCTTCATTTTTAGTCTCTGGGCTCCTTCGTTTAGGGCTGGTGTCGTCGTCGATCCATTTCCCTCCGGACACCTTCTCGATGGCGCTGCCGTCTGCTGCCTGGCCGGATTTCTCTGGGTGACTTTCTGACTTGTCCTTGGTTTCCTTGGAGCCGTGCTTGCTCTTGCTGCTGCGATGATGTGGCGACGAGGACCGTGAGTGCGAGGAGTAGCTGGAGTGCCTGGAGCGCCGGGATCCCTTGGAAGACGAGCGGTCAGAGTAGTGGGAGCGGCTCCGGCTACCTGAGCGCTTTTTGGGTGTGCGGGAGCGTGAGCGCCCCCTCCTTGGACTGTGGGAGTGGTGGTCCTGGTCATGGTGGCGATCATGCCAGCCTCCGCCTCCACCGCCACGCCCACCATCACCGCCTCCACCACCCTGCCAGTTGGCCTTGTATCCGTAGCCGCCACCGCCGCCGCCGCCTCCTCCTCCTCCTCCGCCGCCTCCTCCTCCTCCTCCTCCCCTGTTCTGGTAATGGCCGCGCTGGTAATAGCCTCGGTTTCTGCCGCGGTAGTGGAAGGGCCTCCGGTAGCCTCGGTTGTAGCCTCTGAAGCCCCCTCTGTTGTTCTGATAGTCCCTGCTGGGATAGTTTCTGGAGGACGGAGAGTGAGAGCGAGAGCGGGACCGAGACCTGGAACTGGAAGATAGAAGGGGGAGAAGAAGAAAAAAGATATGTAATTGAGGGTAAAGTGTGTGTTGTAGTCTAACACAATGTTTCATCTTGCAAGTCAGCAGCCTACAAGTAAAGAAAATTATCAGCAACATGACAATTGTTTTAAAAGATCATATTTTTGAAGCATGGCTGTCCTGTGTCTTAATATGTCCTGCAATTGTGAGTCACATAGTATTAGAGTTCAGAACTTGATTTTATGTACGTTATGTAATACGGAGTTATATTCCATCCCTGTCTTTCCTGTAATGAACGCGACATCAGTGACATCAGTCATCTGTAATCAAATAATGAATAACTCCTTAATTTGTAGAAAATAATGGTTAGTTGCAGCCTTATTATATTTGATCACTAACAAGAGAATGGCTGAAACATAAGACTGATAATTCAGTTACCAAGCAGATATGACCAGAGTTACGGCAATTTCCCAAAATCTATCTTATTGTAGGAAGCTTTGAAATTGAACAAATATCAGACAAACTTTTCCTAACTGTCCTTTTATGGTTAGCCTTGAGAAGAGACTGAGATCTACTGCTGCCCAGATGTCAACAGGGGGCGATGTATTCTCACGGATAACCGAGTCATAACTCCACTAGGCACAGCGATGTCTCACTCAGAGAGGCATAGATCAAAAAGACTCTACATGTTTCACCATGAACAATTCCTAAAAACCGCACAGTGCAACACTATGGACAAAAAACTCTGAAGATTGAGTTGACTGTGATAGCAAACTTAACACCAGGAAATTGAAAATAAAGTTAAAAATGAATACATTCAAAACAATGAATCTTAGCTTCACTTATGAAAGACTACAAATAAAAGCCACACAAACAAAAATGTATTTTAGTCACCAAACAAATGCATCAAAAAATAGGTCCACTTAAAATCTAAAATTGTTTCACAACAGTCAAACAATTCCAAAAACAATAGAGGGGGCAGTAGACCTGCAACTAGCGTGTTCTGTAAAGTACAAATTACCAATGGGGTAGCTTCAAAAAGGTCTGCCGTAAGGAATATATAAGACGTAAATAAGAATATAATACGAATATTTATTTACATTGCTTTGCTTACGTGCTGGTACTACTGCCCTTTCTCCAAACACAGTGTGTGTCGCAGTCATCTATTGTAGATATGAACAAGCGCCTCAAACCACCCCAGTTCAAACTATCTGAACTATCCCTTTAAAACGATACCTGTGCTGATGGCCTGTAACAAAACCATTACGTTTACAAGCACATGCCAACTACTTACCCGTTGCGCCTTTTCATTGGAGCAGAGCACTCCTGGACAACAGACAATGTTTTCCCACAGGCAAGACAGTGTGTGTGGCTTTCATTTATGAGTAGGACAAAGAGTACACGCAGGGCCCAACCTGCTCTAATCCACAGAGGGAGGTGGCAGTGAAGGGGGAGGGAGATACAATAGGGCCAAGAGTACTCACTCTCTACTCCTTTTCCCTTTGGACAATCATTGACATGCAGTGTAGCAATGCTCTTCAATGGAAAACATCCAGTCAACAACTCGCTGTCTGTGAAAGTGCTTTAACCGTCAAGCTCTAAACACAAACATGAAGTGACAAGAACAAGCGTGGGAAGCCCTCCCTCACTTAAATAAGGAAACAACATTAAAACGTGCCACAAATGTACACCAGATGACTGGAGGCTCCTAACCAGAAAGAATGTAAGCTGATGCAAATAGTTTGAGTCTTTGGCAGCCTGTCACCCACACAGGAAGAATATGTATGCAAATTCAGAGCTAACCTTGAACACTTGGGGCCTAGAGAAAGGAGGGCAATAAGGGACTTACTACTAGTTACATTTTAAAATGTACTAGAATCCACCAAAGGCTTCATACAACTGTTTTTTTCACATAGTATTCCCCATCACCTATATTTCTCCTTGTGTAAAACAGGTGGGACACCATTTTAATTAGACTAATTGCAAGAGAGACAGGAGTGTTGTATCACTAAAGTAAAATGGCTGTCATGATGAAGCAACTGGTGAGTAAACACACAACTGAAACATGAGCTATGCTTTTCGTAGTTGTTGTGTGCTCCCCTACAAACAGAGCCAAACAGATATAAGAACATCAGTGTACTTAGCTAGTGGTTGTGTGTGTGTTTCCTGACAGCACTGACTTGTATCACAGAGTAAAAAACACAGTCTGAATATAAGAAAATCCATGAAGGAAACTATAAATGTGTCGCCGTTTAGGGAGATATTAAATAGCAATAAAAGCAGCAAGTGAAAGTCTATGAGTACTAACACCTTAGTCATTGAGGGTTGTATAGCTGTAGAAGACTATCATTCAAGCACTTTTAAGATATCTAACCCCACAATTTCCAGATTCTTCCAGACATTAATATCCAATCTAATATATGTTCCTTTCACTCAATTCCTTTAAACCCACAGAAAACAACATATTTAGTAGCATTTCAGTGATTTTTACACACTGAGATCTAGACTCAATCCCTTTTTAAATTATTTTCTAAGAACTGCACAAAACATGCTTTATGATTATGTGATATTATGAACTCAAAAACCATGAGGCAAACCTGGATCTATTCATCCCGTGCAGAACAAGGAAGTGATGAAGGTTCGAGTCAGACACAGCAAACTTCATTTACCTATAGCGACGTTTTCTGGATCTGGAGCGTGAGCGGCTTCGAGAGTGAGATCTGGAGTAAGATCTGGATCTTGACCTGGATCTGGAGCGGGACCGAGCTGGAGAGTCCGGAGCCTTGGACATCTTTGCACTCAGGACCGCTTAGATATGCCTTTACTAGAAAACAAAGAAGTGAATTTTACTTGTTTGACTCAAAGTGTATGAGGATAAAATCAATCCTCCATATGCATCACGATTGGACAGCTACGTAATAAAAACTAGAATGATTGTTTTGTACCCAGCAAATAGTGTCCACACTCCTCCACTGAGGTTTCTTTTTTTGTACTATTTCCCAACTGCTTATCATTAATCTGTGAGTAATTTAGATCAAATGGTACACTAAGGTTAACAAACAGAACTTCAGTGCAATGACCTTAAGCCCAAAGCTGACTAATGAACCGACTCTAACTGAAAATGAGAACAACATGTGCAACATAGAATCACTTATTTCAACCAAATGCTTCAGAACACATTTGTTTTCTTTATACATTTGCTAGTTTCTGCCAAGTCAAATTAAAGAATGAACTTGAGCAGCATCTATCTAGCTTTGGGCCTAGAAATGTTATTATAGAATATTTCTACAAAATGGAGATCAGGATGTCTCACAAAGCAGCAGATCTGGAGCAGGGAGAGCAGTGAGTCAAGGAACAGCTTTTGCCCCTACAGTGACTTATTAATTCTGATAATACAAGATGGTTGTGAAGAAAAAAAGAATAGCATTTTTCCGCTGGGGAATGGCTTTCACATTACATGGCCTGTGTCAGGGATTTGTTGTGATTGTCCTGTTTGTCTCACAATCTCTTCTGCTCTGTCTTTTCAGTACTATGGACAGCGGCACCTACACAAGCATTAAGCTACTTATTTCACATTACAAATGCCCAAAAGCCAACAGTGTATCCACCCTTTGCGTTTGCATCAGAGGGGGAGTTTGAGTTTGAAACACCAACTTCATTTGAGTCAGAAACGTTTGCTTTTTATTCCAGATTGTTTTTATACCAAACGGTGGGATGCCTGTTTCTTTCATGTTTGAAGGGACAACAGTTGCTATGTGCCAAACCTTAGATGCAATATACAGGGTTTCCCCTGCTTGTACACATCTAAAACAGGCCTCACTGTTCTTTTGCTGAACCTCAAACTTCAATAGTTATTAAGTCCTCACTGCATGCCTTCATTCTCCCGTTTGTTATTATTCTCAACTGAAGATGCCACGGCAAGAACATGTTATGAAACTTGTGATATAGGTGTTACCAATGAGGCTAAACTGGACATTTGTACATGTATAGAATATAGATATGCATTGATTACACTTAATATCTGCAGAGTGCTTTCAATCTGAAATATAATTGAAATGTAATTATTGCTCTTTTAAACTAGAGACCATCTCATAATGGGATCAAGATAAGATAAGATGGACCTTTATTAATCCCCGTGGAGAAATTCAGTTGTACAAAGCTGCAACAGGGTAAGTGTGAAAAAACAGGACAGCAAAGATTCACACAGATTAATAAAATCAAAAATAAAATCAAGAAAAAAATTAAAATAATAATGATAATAAAAGACTATGAAATAGGAGATGAGTAAAAATAAGAGTAAAATAACTGTCAGCATATATTTTCATATTTGGTCATCTAAGTTATGAAGTACGGAATGAGTTAAAGTGACAAGTGAAAAGTGAAAATGGAGGCTGTCTGGGGCGTGTCTTTTTGGGCACCGGGACAATGCAAGACGTCTTCCAGATGTCCGGCACCTTCATCAGCTTCAGGGAGAGACTGAAGAGGTGCTGAAAAACTCCTGCTAATTGACCGGCACACGCCTTGAGCACTCGGGGGTTGGTGTTGTCTGGCCCCCTTGCCTTCCTCACGTTGATCTTCGAGAGCTGATTCCTAACTGGTCCGGTGGTGGTTATTAGGGGTGTGAAACTGCTGGGAGTGGCTGATGCCCCCCCTGGAGTGGTGTTGGGTGTGTTTGGAGAAGAAGGGGGAGTAGTGGTGCCAGGGTTTGGGAACCCCTGCTGTCCTGTTGAGCTGGAGATGGGATGGTCAAACCTGTTAAGGCCCTGACACACCAGGCAGTCACCAGAGAACTCACCGACATCGACTGTTGCATCGGCGAGTTCTCCTGCGTCTTGGCCATGTGTCGCACTGGAACACACCGCAAAGACTTCAGCTGAGCACGTACGAACTGCGCATGCGTGCGTGGCAATAACTCTCCTTACCAGCAGTAGTGTGTATTCGTCATTCAAAATAGGCAACAACCGGAAGACAGAGAAGAAGAACAGACTGATATAAACAAACAAATAGCGTGTGCGTTCCATTTTCACTCCCGTCCATCGAAAACATGTTTTAGAATATAAAAATACATGAATGATGAAATGAGCACATAAAGTGCAGACATACTATAAAATCACAGTTAATAGACCTGCATCTGATGATCGCAGTGTTCTGGCGGGTGTGTAGTTTATTGAGTCAGCAATGTAGTAATGTATGTAATGTAATAATGGCCACTTCTTGCTAAATTTACATTTCCATGTGATGCTTTTATCCGAGGCGACTCACAATAGGTAAATGAACAGCAGTAGACAGTATCTCATTTACTTAGACACTGTACTTAAGGACAATGTTGAGGTACTTGAGACTAATCCTGCAACTTTATACTGACAAATAAACCGATGAGATGAAAAACCGGACTTGACCAAACAAATCACGGAGCTCTCAGCAGAGGACAGCCGGGGACGCTCCCGCCGATATCAGAGATGTCCCTGCTATGTGTGGGAGGTAAGAGAGGACATTTAAGGGCTATGTTTGATGTCTTTTAAGTATCACTTGCTGGGGTTTAGCTGCTGTCCTGTGCCTTCTTAAATCGTTTGTTTACGTCCCTCACTTCCGTTTCGCTTCTCATTTGCTAGCTGAACAGCTGATCAGAGTGGTTTCTTGGCCCGATAACTTGTGTCCGGGCCATTTGTCGACCGTGAAAGGCCAAATAAGGCGTGTCACGGCCGAGGGTTCGGGACACACCAAATTGACTTTGGGCGACAGGGCACGCTTTGTCGCCAGACAACCGAAGACGGCCGATATCGGCCTGGTGTGTCAGGGCCTTTAAAGAACAGGTTTAGCTCATTCACACCTTCAGGGTTTGTACCCAGTGATTTTTCTCACCCCTCCCCACACCTCTCTAGAGCTATTGGCCTCCTGACGACTCTCCAACTTGTCTCTGTATTTCTCCTTGGCTGCCCGTAGCTCTTTTTTCAGCTCCTTCTGTACAGTCTTAGCTTTCTCAGTGTCTCTAGCCATGAAAGCCCTCTTCTTCCTGTTCAAGAGGGTTTTAATGTGCCCATTGATCCAGGGCTTGTTGTTTGGGAAGCAACGTACCTTTTTGGTCGGTACAATGCTCTCCTCACAGAAACACCAGACGCAGAGCTACATCAGGCCAGGGGAGTAAAGTGGGAGGGCCAATGGACACTTCCCCACTTTCTCTGCCACTATTTCTGGTACCCTTATTATTTCAATTGTACGGTCAACATTATTATGATTGTATGGTGCAAATCCTAAGAAAAGCAGGTTTCATATGCAGACCTGTGTGAAGTAAAATAATAGCCTAAAAACAACTAAAGATGTTATAAGCATTATTGGTAACAGATAGAGTTTGTATTCTCAGCATCATGTATGCTTCTGTTCTTCAGTCTTGCCCTGAATGATAATTACAAAGAGGTGCATCAGTGAGTTGACTTTCTCCACACTATATCTACTGCATGCTACCAAAGCCTCGCTCTCCCCTTGACATCCAAACAAAAACAGAAGTGAAAGTAAACTTAATTCATTTCAGGCTTTTCCATTTCATCACTGGCAAAGGTATTTCAGCCTTCACAGTTTACACCTTCTAGATATCTAATAAAATAAAACTTCATTTCCAGTGACGTTTAGATTATATGCAATGCTGTATTATGAGAGACATATTGGGTGCTCTGATGCAGTTCATAATTGTGGTTGTGGTTTACCCCGCAAAGTAGCCGGACTGGTTGTGAGGGTTGCTATTTGAAGACTTGGTGCATAGTCCATTCAAAGACAAACATATTATAACCGGGTAGGCAAATATCTGTCAAACTTGCAAAACCAGAAAGGCCTGAGACACTGACTACCAGTGGTGGAATGTAACTAAGGATCTTTACTCTGATGCATTGAACTTGAGTACAATTTGAAGTCATTTTACTTAAATAATACACTTTCATGCTATTTTATACTTCTACTCCACTACATATAGGAAGCCGATAATGTTCTTTTAACTTTGCTGCATTTATTTCACAACATCAAAACGCATAAACCAATAATTAATGAAAATATATTATGGATAACAACCAGTCAGCCGTATACAAAAAAAATAGCTCCAGCTTTATTAGTTGCAACTGTATCTAATCCATTAATATAATACTAAAAAATAATAGTAATAATGCATGGATAATAATAATAACCATAATTATAAATAAAGCATACAATAAGCAAAAGAGCACCAGTTATAAAACATCTATTAGATCAGAAAATCAGTAATGGTATATAATAATAATGAAAAACAAATAAGCTTCTGTATTCTGAAATTACTTCAGTAACATCAAGATGCAAGACTTATACTTGTAACGTGTAATCATTTAACACTGTAGTAATGATCATTTTAGATCTGATAACTTCTCCCCCCAATGGGCCTATGTGACACCAACACACACCACTGGGTTTAATGGCTCATGTGGTCATTTTGGTTATACATTTAGCTAGTTAACTGCGTAAATGTCTGCCATTTAAGGCTATGTGCATATAATGTAATACCTGTGCACCACAGAGAACATGTGCCACCACACCAACAACTACACTGATATAACACATATTAATAAAGTAAACAAATTAAGTGAGCTTTACTACACGTAACGTAACAGCATTGTAATCAATACTAGAGTCAGATAAAACTGACTGAAGCTATCGATACTGAGAGCTCCAGCGTTACAATAAGAAAAACAGATACAGACTTCAACTATCATCTTAGCTACACAATTAAATTGCATTTACCTTTTCCCGGTGCAAACAAGTCTGTACAAACTCGTTTTGATGAATAAATGCTGCAGAAGTTGAGTAACCTTTGAGGCCGAGCTGCTCGACTGGTCCCTCCTTCCTGGTTTTACTGAAGCAATTTAACGGATGTTAGCAACCTGGCTAGCTTGTTAGCAGTGGTTCCGTAACCAACTGCTAGGCCAACCAAAACAGACGCACTGCGCCTTCAGAAGAGGCCAGGCGCTAGTACTGCCATGTCAGTCGACATTAGACATGTCTGTGGAGGATTTTAGGTGTTTGTCAATTGTGCTAAATGTATGTTTTTGACAGAATTTAGATTTAACGAAAGCTAACGATAAACAGACACCGTTAGCTCACGATGCTATCCTCACTACGCTCACATCACGCGAGACTTTCTGTCCCGTGAAGTGATGTCAGGGAGGACACGGGGTAAATTACCCTAGAATAAAAACACTTTTTAAATTCTGCTTTTATTGATGTTAAACATCTGATTGACATGTTATCTTGGACTCACATTAGTTGACATTAAATATAGGTTTTTTTCTTCATTCTGGACAGAAGTTATTTTTTTTTTTTTAAATCTCTTTGTAATGGTAGCCAACATTTTGTATAAATGATATGGACTGAAAGGAATCCTAAGCATGAATTTAACGATTCAAACACTAAACCAAAAAGCTATCTGACTATGGTCATATACAAGACCTTAAGAGCTCTACTAAATGTATTTCTCGTGTATTTTGTAATAACAGTATTCACTATGCAGAAAGGCCCATTTCCGATTTATATTTTATACTTAAACAAAATACAGTAAGCCTAAGTATAATTAAAAAGCAAATAAAAACCCATAGTTCTGCTTTAAGGAAATATAAGCTGCATTACAGGTTTCCACCCTCAAACCCACAGCTGTCCTTTAGCTTGACGTTGATGTCCGTTGGGTCTGTGTTGTTTCTAATGCTGTGCACTATTTTTATCAGACTAAAAGCCACATAACGCCTCCTATCACAGACACAGATTCCACCCTAAACCCCACTCAGGGTCCATCCGGCCTCAGCCAAACCCAAATACACTCTAGGGGGAACTGAAGTTGTACACTGTCTCTTCTCACTGACCTGTTTTTGGTTGAAGCTGTGTGAGAGTTCGTTGTAAATAAATAATAGATCTACACAAAGACTTCTTTCATATTGTAAGAATCTGTCCTTCCACTTGAGGAGTTTAGTCATGTCTTTCTGTGTTCGGAACATGTCAGTGTCTATTCAAAGCTAGTGAATGTATGTCATATTTTCCTTCAAATATAGATAAGGCATTTCAAATATAGATAAAAACTGAATCACTGGCTTCCTTTCCTGCAAACTGTATCAACTATCTGCACACCATCTGTTTGGCTCCTGGGAACTTGTTAATCCCACATAGTGATGAGGAAATCAATCCTCAGCAACAAGATTGCAGTTTCCAAAAATAAACGTTTTGCCTTGAGTAATGAACAATATATTAATGCACAAAATGTTTTTTCAATAATACATATGCGTATTGTGCGAGAATAATAAGTTGATGCAGTGCAGTAATGTTTCATAACCACTGTGTTAAAGCCATACTGTGTAACAGTGTCATTCTTTCAGCATTAAATTCAATGATAAACTACAATCTGTTCTCCATGCACATATCTGATATATTCCATGTATCCATATCATATCTTGTTTTTTTTATACATAATGCACATTACTCTGCACTTTTGGTGCTCAAAAGCTGTCTCAGTATATTTATTCTGTGCATTGACAATACAAATGTATTAATCTGATAAAGTACTAGTACCTGTCACTCATAACATTATGTTTGCCTTGGTTATGAAATACACGCTAAAACTTAAATGCAACCACACACATGAAAGAACCTGTAGTGTATTATTCCATTTTTAGTTGTAACCTTCTGCTTTCTATTCAATGTGTTTATGTGTTCAGTCTTTGATTTTCCTTTTTGTTGTTTCTTTTAGTTCTTGTACTCTGTACATGTGCAAATTGAAAATTACGTCATATCAACTTGATGTTGAATTTCATCCCCAAATAAATAAAGTCATTGTGTGTATTCTTACTGCAAAGATTGCAGGACAAAGTTCATCTTTCAAATAATCCATTTAACAAAAACTGAGACTCTAGTGCTTAACAACCCTAAAGGCTGTCATCACAGTTCAAGCACTGAGAGAAGTAGCAGCAAAGCCTTAAAGCAACTGTGTCCTCCGTTCTGCACGATAATAACATGTCATCTAGTCCACAGCCTGAATAGTAGACCTGGTTTGAATTTTTACAACTCCTCATGGCACGCATGGTCAAGTCACTCCTCGTTGACCTTCGACAAAGATATGCAAACAGTTCCTATTCACTGTCCTATTCCCTTTGCAGCACAGGTGTTGGGCATTTTGCCGTGCCAAAGTTAAAATTATCCCCGACAGATCTCTCCTTTGGCCACAATGTGCGAGCAGACATGGCTCCTTGTCTGTCACTCACTTTACGAGCTGCTAATGGTCTCACTGGAGCTTTGAATTCCAAGGGGCCGAGGACAACTCTGCCCAGTGAGGTCAAAGATGAAAGTGAAATAAAAGTCAGTTAGATTAAAGGGATTGTGGCCACACCGTCAAGCTTGTGGAGGATTTGTGTCATCATTCAAAATAGAACGAACAAGCAGCGAGCAAGAATAACATTATAGCAAAAGAAAACCCAAAAAATATGAAAAATATAATTTTGTATTTAGTGACAAGATCTTCTTAAATGTGAAGTTAATGTAGAAAAGTGTTATCAGCAAAATATAAGTATAAGAAATTGTAGTGCCCATGCAGAATGTCTCCTTTCAAAGGGTTGTATTATGATACATTATTATATTATGATTCTGTTTTTATCACATTATGTTAATGTTGACGTTCATCATTTTTTACTTTGTTTTGAAAAATATAATATTTGTCTCATAAATGTAGTAAAAGTATAAAGTATCATAAAATATAACTACTTACAGTACAGTGCTTCTATATGTGTACTTAGTTACAATCCATAAAGATTTGCTTCTGTTGTTTAATGTTTTATTCATATTTTATCAGTTACTTCCTTTATTTTAATTGTTGCTCATTTTAGTTGGTATTTCTTGTGTACTACCCTCTGTCACTTTGTTTAAAGATCGTATATCCGTTACTTCAACAAAACAAAATACATTGAAGCCTACATCTCAAATTACAAAGACCACTTTCATAGAGAGAGTAGAGCTCAGCAATGATAAAAAACAAAGCTCAAAACACGTAAAAGGGAGAAAAGGAGAGGCTCACCTTGCAGGGGAAAGTGAGAGTGAGGAGAGAAAAGTGAGGCTCCTTGCTTCCTGGTTTGTAGAAACAAGTGAAGAAGAAACCTCTGGGATGGCAGTTAAGAACCCAACTGTCTGACAACCACTTGGTGAAATCACATCTCGAATATAAATAGTTGACTCTCTGGAAGCGTTGTTTGAAGGGATCATCTGTGACTGTGTAGTGTGTATGCTCCCATTAAGATGCCCACAGAGAAAATAAAGACGTTTTATTTGATGACTATAGATCAAAGGTTTAACATAATGTAATGCACTGTTATGTGAAGGATGGGCAGGTTGTCTCACATGATACATTAAATACTTTATTAAATGTGTACCCTATTGCTTTTTGTTGTAGTCCTGCTGGTAGCCACACTTCAGGCTAAGGCATTCACAGACACAGAAGCTGTTTAGGCAGGTCGATATCTCTGCACCAATGTGGGACATGAGATAACAGCATGAGACAATGTCCAGTCTACTCTCCCACAGGGTTACAAACAATACAAATACATCATGCTTCTAACTGAATTAGGGTTACAAACAATACAAATACATAATGCTTCTAACTGAATTAATTTACGGCAGCTGTACAGAACGTTTTTATTCTAAGCAGCTGGCAGTTAGCCTTCTCTGTTTACTTTAGTCCCACCCAGATACTGCTCACAATAGGTTACAGTACTCATCACTGACTAGATATAGAAGACTGAAACCTGGCTAACCAGTATACAAAAGAAAAAGAGACTACAACTCTTTCAATTATTACGAATATTTAAATTGCTCTGCTGAACAAATGAGGTGTGAGTATTTGATGATTCCATCTAAAGAGCCTAATCAGACTGCTAAACTCACAGTTTTGTCACAGTGGTATGAGAAGTGAATTTGAAACCAAGAGGCGCTTTCACACCAAGTACTTTGCCATACTTAGTTCATCAGAACTTAGTTCATCAGAACTCTTTAGTTCTGATGAACTAAAGAGCAGATCGCGTTCACACCGGAATAAATCCCTGAGGGAGGATTAGGCAAATGAAGCCGCTGACGTCACTACTTCTTTTTCTGCTTTGGGTTTACTGGCAGGCCGCAAACAACTTCACGGCGTATACTGCCACCCGGAGTCCCCGGCCGGAAGTCCCCGGAGTTGGGGACACACACTCGGAAGGCTTCAGTAGAAGCTGCTGGGACTCCCAGCAGCTTCTACTGAAGCCTTCAGAGTAAATCGCCAGAACGCCGACATCTCATCACTCCACCGCTCCTACGTTTTATTTTGTGTTGCCATAAGTTAGTCTCTCTCCGTTGGTGCGCTGGGCTAATGATAATGCTAATAATGCTAATGCGAGCAAATAAAATGGCGGCTTCACAAAACTTTTTGGGAGTTTTACGGGGCGTGGTTTGCAATCCGCCCAGCCAATTTTTCTCCCAGGAAAGTACCTGCTCTCTAGCAGGGACTGAAAAGGCGGTGGAAAGGTTCTCATGAACTAAGTTCTAGTTCCGGATTTTTTTGGTGTGAACCATAGACGGGGGGGGGACTTTACTGGCATTGATCCGGACCAGTGACCTTGTATAAAGTTCACAACTGGACCTTTAATAAAAAAGTTTGAGTACCCCTGGTACACTGTTCAAAATGGGGGGGGAGCCAGGGGGAGCTTGGCTCCCTTAAATAGGGGGGGAGCTCCCCTGAAGGCCGACTTTGAGATAAATAGGGGGAGCCCAAAAAAATCGTGCATATTTGTGTCACACAGATTAGAAATGTTGAGTTTCTGTAAATAAAAGTTCTTGAAATAAATAATAGTCATTGTTCATCATTACAGTTTCTGAATATTTGTTTTATATTTGTGAATATTTCTGGGTGTTGCCATCTGTACGTGGCGCGGTGGCGGCGCTGCATTCTTTACGCTACTTACGGCCCCTACACACGGCGGCGTGCGTTGACGCTTCAACGCTTCTGCCCATTCACTTTGAATGGGGTGACGTCACGATTCGCCGAACTGCATTCTGGGAGCAAAGCGTAGCTTTTCTCGCGGTGCTCGCTGCAAAAGTAGAGCAATGTTCTACT